GCTCTGGTGAGACATTGTCACACTGGAGAGATATCTAAAAGAGAACATTATACCAAAATATCTCAGATGGGATCTAGCCCCTAATGAATGATTAGCAGATGAAGATTCCCTGAAAGAATGGAAAGCTTTCTTTGCATCATGTGAAAAACAGTTTTTGAACATGCTGATAGAAAGAAAGAAAAGAAAATGGATTAAGGTGGAAGAAATAAAACATTCTTTAAAGAAAACTTGATGCTTTTAAAGATAAGAAAAAATATGATGAACTAATGAAACAGTTGCAGGATAGATTAACCAAGAAAGATGTAGTATATAAATGGCAGGAGATTGTTGTACAACCATGAACATCTGTTGAATCCTCCCAGGCCAGAACTCCTGTTCAAAGAGGGATGGAAAGGGAACAATATAGAAACATATAGCAATATACAAACATAGAGCAAGTGAAAAATCAAAGATTTAGACCACCAAGAAATACACAAACAACAACCCCCTGCAACCATAGGAATCCTCCTAGTGGGCCATCAAGGCCCAGAATGAATTATAATTCAGGGAATTATAATGTCACAGTCTATAACAGATTTCACCCTTTAACAAAATGGAGGGGTGAAAATTCAAATTATGGCTAAGATAATAGGCCAAATAATGGGTTTTTTTTTAGGGGAAATTGGGGAAGACCTCTGGGACAACAGTGGAGGAGCCCCAAAATGTATCAACACGGGGGGGGGCACTGGGGGGCCACAGAGAGGGTCCTTCCAAAACAGGTAGGTAGAGAGCAGAGAGAGAGATTACAGTAGGGATCCCATAAGAGAACGAGAAGAGCCTGCAGAGGTAGATGACGAAATACACAGGAAAAGAAAGAGAGAGATGTAGGAGAAGGCATACATAATTTATGTTCGGTATCTTTAACTAAGGATGAGATAAAACTTCTGGATTTAGGATTGAAATATGCCCCCAAATCAAATGTAAATACATTTGTACCAGTCCTCTATCTGTTCCTGCCTACTCTGTCCCATATAGCATTGATGTTTGGTCTTTTTGACCTGTATATTGCCATTTCTTTTGTAATAATTTTACATTGCTATGTTGTTCTATTTTTCTCTGGCCATTATGCCTTATCTGTAAAATGCCATAAATAAAGGAATTACAAAAAAAATAAATAAATATATTTAATACATACATGGATTTAAATAAATATGTCAGGAAAATGAATAATAAATGCTATTTTGCAGCTATGCCAGGACCAACAACGGGACCTAATGGTGTGGGTCTTGACCAGGGTATAATACACAGTGGTCTAAGAAATAAATCTGTTTTTAATCCCCAAGTAGCTTCTAATCATAATAAACAAATGGTTGATTCAGACTTGGGAGTGAAGTTTAAGGATTTGTATATTATTACTAGGGGCATCAAGAAACTGGAAAAGAGGAGGGACATTATTGTGCACAATGCTGACAAGGGGGGAGGAGTTGTCCTTTATGATAGAAATGATTATGAGGTGGAGATTAAAAACATTCTGGGGGATAATGAAACCTATGAAAAGTTAAACGGTAACCCCACCCAGAAATTACAAAAAAAATATATACTTGTAAAAAAAAACTAATAGTAAGGGTGTATTGGATGAGAAAGAGACAAAATACTTGGTGTCTTTAGAGTGTAGAATACCAACTTTATAATATCTACCAAAGATCCACGAAAGTCTCATGAAACCTCCTGGGAGTCCGACTGTAAGTGGAATACGTTCAATGCATTAAAAGTTAGGGGAGTATGTAGATAATTATCTACAACACATTGTTACACAAATGCCGGTATATTTAAAAGAAGGGCAGGATGTTATTAATGCATTGAAGGCATAGAAGTTGGCAAAATGTGATATTGCCCACTATTGCTGTAAATTCATTGTATACTAACATACAAAACCAAGTAGGAGTAGAGGTGGTCAAATGTGCCCTGAGGAGGTTTAGTGATTTGAAAATAGTGCAGAGAAAATGTGTCATTCAAGCTTTAGAGTTTGGAATGATGAAGCATTACTTCTGGTGTAAAGGAGAGTATTAAACCCAAAAGAAAGATGTTGCCATGGGGGATGTTTGCCCCCAGTCTGGCTAACATCTTCATGGCAAAATGGGGGTAGGAATCAAGTTTTGCTTGAAGGTGGGAGGAGTTTAAAGTATGGAAAATATTTATAGATGACATTTTACTAATCTGGGAAGGAAGTGTGGAATCCTTAGAAACATTCTTGGAGCATATTGATAATAAATTAATATGGGATTACTTCTTCAAAAAGTGGCTATGCATGGGGTAATTTTTTTAGATCTAAACATTTTTATAGAACAAGGCAGACTTTACATGAAAACTTATTTTAAAAGCACCCATAGGAATGGGTATATCCCAGTATCCATTTGTCACCATCCAAGTGGGTGGAAAATATACCCAAAGGGCAGTTGACCCACATTATGTGTAATGGCTCAAAATTAGAAGATGACATTATACAATCCAATGTGATCAAACAGAGATTCATAGATAAAGGCTAAGGCTCAGTGAGATTAGAAAATATAAGATTCCAGGTTAGTAAAAAGTATATTAGTGGAAAAAGGGAGAATACTTCTAAAAAATGGAGAGATGAGAATAGGAATAAAGATTATGGTTTTATTTTGGATTACAATTGCGAATATAGGGAGGTTGAAGACATCATAAGGAAGCACTGGCCAATTTTAATTTTAATAAAGGATTGGATTTTGGGATTTCTCATTCCCTCCAACCACAATTTTTATATTACAAAGCTAGAAATCTGAAAACTAAGCTTGTAAAAAATGTAGTGTCTCCTCCCAAAAAGAAAATTGGAATGATGTTTGATTTAAAAGGTTTTTTCCCATTTGTCCAACCACTAAAACAACTAGAAGGAGAGCTCAATAATTTGGATCAAATATTATGAAAAAGATATTAAAGGAATTCATCTTATGCAACACTGCATTTGTGACTTACCTATTGGAATGTAGTTGCAGTCTACAACATGTGGGCCGCACTACGGGGAACCTACACATTAGATTAAGTGAACATGTACAAAATATGAAAAAGGGTTTAAAAAGTCATTCTTTATCTAGACATCTCAGAGAGGCCCATAACCGAAATCCATCACAATTAAAATTCTGTGGCATTTATGTTATTTTTGAGCATTGGAGAGGTTCTAATAAGATGAGAGATATCGCCAAAAAAGAAACATTATGGATGTTTGAACTTGATAGTTTATGCCCAAAAGGCTTTAATGTGGAATTGGATTTAAATTGCTTTATTGCAGATTTTTGAAATATAATTATTTTAAAATTGAGTTTGATTGTATTCTGAGTTTCACCAATAGGGGGGAAAATAGTTGTGAGTTTTTTTAGTTAATTATATAATAATGTAATTTCAGCCTTCAACACTAGGAGATAAAATCCCATTGGGAGTAGTGAAAAGAGAACTAAAATAGTACTGTATGTAGCTGAAAATCTTAACACTAGAGGGAATACCAAGGTTAACAAATGGGGACATTTTGTAAAATGAGAATTTTATAAAATAACAGTTTTTTTAGAGGCTTAATATTATATATAATCATTTTTTTATAAGTATGTTTTTATAGTGTTTTTTTTGTATAAAAAATGTGCGGGGCGTAAGTTTATGTTTAATGATGGTAGCATTGCATTCCTATTCCTGTTTGTATGGCAATTGGCATAAGGGGATGGTCCTTGTGCACCATTCTTAATGGCTCCGCCCATATGCTGATTACCACAAATGGTCAGTCCTATTTTCCATCACAATCTGAGCTCAATAGAGAAAATGGACACTTTCCCATAAAAAAGTGGAGATATGTAAGGCAATTATGGGCAAGAGTGAGTTATAAATAGAAAGAATGAAGTCTGGCATGAAAATCCTTGAAAGAAGTCTTGATGACAAAACTAGTCGCTGGAATTGACGCAATTGCGGATACTGGAAGTGCAACAGTGGCCATTTTGGAAGTGGTTACAGACCTGTTTTGAGTTTTATTTTCAAATGTTATTTAAAAGCAAGATAACACTATATTAGTCTTTATTTCTTGGGGACCATTTGCACAAGTCATGCTGGCAAAGAGCAGGAAGAAAGTGGAATGGTTTATTAAAAGCACCGTTTATTGGAAGTTCAGTAAGGAGCTTGGAGTGTATTTGGAGAGGTGATGCACTTGGTGGATCTTTCTCTGAGTATTAATAGGAATGCACAGTTAATTTATTATAATGTGAGTGGCTTTCTATACGAGAGGGATTTTTAGAAAAAAGTATTGCACTATATTGGTATTTTGTATTTTGAGTAAAACCGTGTGGATCTTCATGTGAGATGATCATTGAAGTACCAGATACCAGGAGACAAAGCTGAAGTGAATCTGAGAATAATTGATTGGATATACACCAAGTATATGAAGGATAAGGGTAGATAAAGAAGAACATTAGTGAACAAATACATATATGGTTATTTATTATAAATGTGAACACATTGGGCAGAATTTGAGGCATGGTGTATTGAGCATACTACACTATAATATATTTCTTTTTTTGGAGATCACTGTATGGGAAGAGTAGATTCACAGGAAGAAGTTGGTGGATATATGATATCTGATTTTTGGTTATACAGAGGCAATATTGAACTTATCCTTTTGAGAGTGCTGGTCGCATCTATCATTACCATCTCTTTCTGTGAGAGGAACAGATTGACTACAGCTGCTAAGGGAAGGATCATTGTTTACTATATATTGTTTGTGTTAAAAAAAGAGGGGTTCCAGTATGCTGTTTAAAAATATTTATTGTTTTGCTTATAGGCTTCTAGTAATCCTAAAGCACCATACTGCTTCTATCCAGATAACTTTGGATATACAGCCAGCAATATTCAAAACACTGCTACTGGAATAACAGCAAATCTAGGGAATCCAACAGCGTCTGTACGTTATGATATCTCTCCATCAATAAATGACCTTCGTCTAACTGCCACCTTCCATGAAGATAATATGCTTCAGTTTAAGGTAATGTTGAGTTACATTGTTATTATTTTAGAGAAACAAGTGGAAGAAGCATCACATATGACATTTTGCAAATTTACATTATAAGCTAGTATAATGTAAGCTCCTTAAAATTCATATTATAGTGTCAGTGTCTTTTTATTTGTCTAATTATACACAGGCAAATGCATGAGGTTGATATACTAAAACTGGAGCAGACAGATTCTAGAGCAGATGTGCATAGTATTAATAACCAATCAGCTTCTAGCTTCAGCTTGTTCAGTTAAGCTTTGAAAATGAGATCCAGAACTGAGTGGTTGCCATGAACAGCTGCTCCAGATTCTTTCTGCACCATTCTTAGTAAATCCCCCTCACAATGTGTTTGCCATAATACAATTTTATTAAACCAGAAATTTTGTGCTAATATGTCATCACAAAAGATGTGAATGTGTATGACTATCAGAATGGCAGCCGCACTTTCTATATCCCCACCTAAAAATGTATACAAAAATTACCTGAATCGAATTGCATTACCATACATAAAGAAAAGTGCATGTGCTTATCATAAAATAAGTATAAAATAGATAAAATTCATATACAGTTGGTAGAGAAAAGAATCACTCTGCCCCCCCCTTTAAAATCACATTTTGTTACTTTGCAGCCTGAAATGAAGACAGTTTTTGTTTTATCCAGCTGTATTCACTGAGTTGGAAAAATAATCACCCTCTCCTAAAAATGACTTGTAAACTCAATCATGTGTAGCTAATCACCTTTTCATTGGCACACAACGTCATTTGACTTTCAAAGTCCCAACACAATTCATAAAAGTGCTATGTACAATTTCTGTAGCCAAAGAACATAATGTGTGCATAAAGTAGCCCAGATGATTCCATAAAGACTTTGTACCACTTGTGAACGCTATCAAACAGAAGCTGCTTACTTGACTCTTAGACCTCAAAATACAGGAGGTCTAGCCACATTCTTAGGGAAAGAATCCAGGATGGATAGATGAATGATGGCTTCCAAGCCCTTTAGGTGCTTGTCGAGGAGGTGAATGGACAACCACTTTCCAAATGTTTGGATGGAATGCACTCTCATTGTCTCCACCAATGCACACCACTTATTTCACCAGCAACACTGATCCACCATAAACCAAGTTGACCGGTAATTATAATAAATATGCAAGAGGAAGAATAACTCTCATAATAAAAATATTTAAAATATTTAAAAAACAATTGATACTGATGACATAAGGGTGACAGCATCACCTAGGGACTAATACTTAAATGACACCTGGAAAACCAAAAAAAAAGTAAAACATTTAAATAAAATTTGAACAATAGGGCATCAGCTGCACCCTAGCTGTTGTTGAAACAGTTGATTTCCCATTCCACATTAAGCCCATTAAGACAATGGGTATTAACTTTGTAGATTCAGCGAGTTTCTCACCTGGAAATCTCGCAGACATTGTTACTACCCCTCCATTGTGGTGAAAAACTCTTTCTACCTGCCAATTTTAGACATGATGGATCCTTACAATGTTTGAACACTTTGATGTTGTTGGTAAGGTGCTCCCCTATTCTAGTTTGTACGGTCCTTCTGCCCATTTGGTTTGTAACCTGCAATATATATTGCAGGTTACAAGAACATTGTAAAAGATATACAACAGTCTTAGTGAAGCAGGTAATGAAGCTTCCAATGCTGTAACTATGTTTAGTAACAGTAAATTGAAATGTCTGAGTCTTAACTATATTGCCTCCACAGGTTTTATGTACAGAACATCTCAGAAGTGAGTGGGGGAGGTCTGTTTCTGGTATGCAGTGACCATATGCAAACCCCCAAGAAGATGAAAAAGTAATAATTAAAAAAAAGTGTAAAATAAAAAAGTGTAAAAAAGATAGAAAAATAAAACAATTACTCCCCAGGTTGCAACAATGACATTAGATGAAATTTGCATTGGATGCGCAACCATCCAATGCTTATGTAAGTGAACACAATGTCATTCAAATTTTTATTGAAAACCTGTGAAAAAGTGGCTGTTAACTAATTTATGTCATGTTCAACAGGACTTGATCTTTTATTATTGTAATACTAACTTTATGCAGCTGTTTTTTTACTGCATGCTTAGCAATGTAGCGTTGAAAGGGGAATAAAGTGCTCCTAAAGTAAAATGCATACGTTCACTTTCAGCTATACAATTACATAAAAGTCACACTATTGTGATATTGTTTTATTGAACTTTTCTTATTATATTTTGGAAATCGCTGTGTGATGGTGCGCAAATTGTGTAAATAATATTTTTGGTGAAATTACAGAAAAATTATTTTTCTTCTAATGTTCAACTATTCTCTTACCCCTAAAAACAAGTAAATAAAATATATGTATCCAAAGGTTTACAAATGTAAAGCCCTTCCCCCCAAAGAACACAAAACTGTGTATAATAAGCTAGGGTAGCCTTGAAAACCTAAAATGTATAAGGTGCGGGACTGAGACATTTTTGAAAAAAAAAAAGCTCTAGTACTGAAGTGGCTAAAGCAGTAGTGTTTATACATAACTTAGGTTACTCTTTTCATCCTAAAGTATCTCTTTTATATGCAAACACTCTGAAATTGTCAGTTAAAAATTGTGCATGCATGCTTGCAAATTTTGTGTTACCACTTGAATTTGCAGTATTTCATTTTCTGTATATGCCATCTCGCCTGATTTTTTTCTTTAGCATTATTGGGAGGTGATGGAGGGGCACTGCGATCTGAGGTGTATGTGATATAAATATTCCCTCAGTGGCAGTTCTCTGTAGGAAAAATCTCTGCCCATTATGCAAATAATGACATACAGAGAGGTGTGGAAATGTAATGACTTTTGGGCTGTGGGCATGAAGAATCCAGGTTTTTCACTGTACATGGACAATAGCTAAGAGATCTGGAAATGTCATACATACAGTTTTGCATGCATGTGTTATTTTAACTTGTCATTTGAGTGAGTTTGCATTAAAAAGGCCTGCTTTAAGATATCGTAAACTGGGTCAAAATGATTTATGAATTGTGTCATAGGGTATTCTTTTAAGAAACTCCTCTATAGCTCATGGGGGAATATATTTTAAGTCCAAATCAATGCAAAAGTGCAGTAACTGCAGACAGTAAGTGAGACATTCATCATATTGTTACTTCTTGGCAAGGTGTAATAAAACAATATAGGGAATTAAATGTCTTATCTCTTAACAAGTATTTAAAGAAACGTATCTAATATTTAACTTTTACAGATATTTGACCCAAACAATAAAAGATATGAAGTTCCAGTTCCATTAAATATCCCAAGCATTCCAACAAGTACAGAGCAAGGAAGACTGTATGATGTAGAAATCGCCAACAATCCATTTGGAGTTGTGATTAGAAGACGGAGCACTGGAACAGTTATGTAAGTAATTATAATTACAAAACACACATTATAGTTATTGTATAGAAAAGCAACATACTTGCTTAAGTGTTTTAATGTGTTAATCGTGTCTTTTTTATTATAGTTGTCTTATAAATTATCTGTACCCCCTCGCCAAATTTTCTTTCTTTGACTTTTTAACATCATCGGGTCGAAGGTTATCTGAAGTTTGACAGTTGCTACCTGATTGTTTACATACTTTGCATTCAGAAGATGAGACTGATTTATTGAAGTATGAAGTTCAGAGAAGAGCATGTTTTATACTTTAGGAAGTCTGGTCCAGGATCAGTTCGCTTCATCCTAACTTCAATGTACTTTACATATAAGTAAATTAGGCCCACTATGTGAGATCAAGAAATTGGCAAATTACATTTCAGATGAGCGCTGTCCCCCTGCTTGGGTTAGTAACGGCACTTCTCACCATTCTGCAATTAGAGGTTTGTTTTTTTAAGTGTTCACATGCTTGAATCTTATAATTTAACTTCTGTTTCCTAAGTGTATTACTTAATGTTTCCCTGGAAGCTAAGTAAACTACCAGTACATTGTAGAAGAAATCCCAAAGAAATGCCCAATCCTAATATAAAGCCCAGTTTATGAAATTGGAGTGACTTCATTTTTTGTTAACTTGTTGCTGCAAATGCACAGGAAACATTCCTTTTTTTTTAATTTCTTTGTAAATTATTCTAAGTTTGATGTGAACATAGATTCATTCATGGTGTACTGACAACAATTAAGTAAAAAGTCTGATTTCAATTATTATAACCATAAAAATACAGAACGGAGCTCCAGACCAAACTCAAATAAAAAAGTTCAAGATGCTTTTAATTGGCAGCTATATTTAAATTTATCTTGGGCTCTTTTATTCAATTCTGATCTGGTTCTCCTTTATGTACTTTGATGGGCACCCAATAGTAACTCAAACCATAAAAGGAAGCCTTGCTGTGTGGGAGCTGCCAGAGCTATTTTGCGGTTTTACTTTATGTACACTTGAAAGCCTAAAAGTTCCCAGCACCTCTTTGAATATGTTCTGGAATTATTATAAAACAGGTATTAATATTTTGTATACCTGGCCAAGCTGTAAGATTTACCTTCAGTTATGTATTGCAAGGACCTGCCTAATTGGACACAATTAAAAGTGTTGTTTAGGTTTGACCTCATATTATATGGCTTTTTGGTAAATCTGAAGGAACATTGTACAAGAAATATGAATACTGTATGGCCAGCCTTAGGACCAAAGCTAAATTTTAGACAACAAAATCCTAATTAAGAAGAATTCAACTATAAGTGATTCTAATTATTTGTTAAACAGGTGTCCAGCAGACAGTTGATTATAAAAGGGCATTACTTAACAAAGAAAACCCCTTCTAATTTTATACTGTCAGCAATGGCACCATATGGAAGAGAAATGTCACAAGGCCTGAGAAAGAAAACAATTTCTTTACACAAGAAAGGTGAAGACTACAAGAAGATCCACAAAGCTTTACTTATCAGTCAAAATACTGTAGCAAAAATGATCCAACAATTTAACAAAGGTGGAACTGCAATCATCTCACAGATGTCCAGGCCATCCACGGATGTTAAGACTTCGACAGGAGTGTCTTCTGATGAGAGGGGTTGAAGAAAATCGGCATGCAAGTTCACTGCAGTTAGGTAAAGAAGTAGAAAGCCAAACTGGGGTGATTGTTTCATGTGACACAATATAGTGTACACTGCAGAGGAATGGCATGCATGGGCGTTGTCCACGAAGGAAGCCTCTCCTAATGCTTATGCACAAAAAAGCTTTCCTAGAATTTGCCAGGCCCATTCTGAAAAAGAAGAAGACTGCTGGAACTCTGTACTCTGGAGTGGGGAGACAAAGATAAATGTTTATGGAACTGATGGATTCAAAACTGTATGGTGTCACAAAGATGAGGAGTACAAAGAAAAATGCATGGTGCCTTCAGTGAAACATGGTGGTGGCAGTGTGCTTCTGTGGGGCTGTTTGAGTGCTGCTGGTGTTGGGGATCTGCACTTCATTGATGATATCATGAAATCACAGATGTACTACTCTATATTGAAAGAGAAGATGCTACCATCACTCCTTAGTCGTCGTGCACTTTTCCAACATGACAATGATCCAAAACAGACATCTTAGGCCACTGTTACATTTCTGAAGAAGGATAGGGTGAAAGTGATTCAGTGGCCAAATATGTCTCCTGGTCTGAACCCATTAAAACACCTATGGAGAATTCTTAGGAGACAAGTTGAGCATCGCTCTCCATCCAGCATCCAGACTCTAAAAGAGGTCGTTCTTGAAGAATGAAAAAAGATAGATTTTGCAATATGTCACCAATTTGTTCATTCCATGCCTAGAAGACTTGGTGCTGTCCTTACAAATCATGAAGGTCATACAAAATACTAGATGTAGTAGTTTTTGTTGTGGGGTGTATTCATTTGTGCATCAACTAATTTGAGTAAAACTGAAGATTTTGTAATCTAAGTTATATTATTAACCTTCCTTTCATGTAATGAGCTAAACAAATACTCTATGAAACTCAGTTTTGTCATAATTTTGGATATTGTTCTTGTGTTCATTGGTATATTGATTAATATCTTACTTTTCAAAAAAGGTGTACTCATTTATGTTGAGCACTGTATATATACAGTTGTGTTCAAAATAATAGCAATCAGACATCACTAACCTGATCAATCACTGTTTTTGGTAGAAATTATTTTTCTACCTGGCAAATAATTTACTAGCAGGTGTAGTAGAGTAATATAAATCCAACAGACCCAACAGTCATGACATGCATGCTGCTGATTCTGTGTAATTGAATCACTAATTGAAAGGGGCATGTTCAAAATAGTAATGTGGAGTTCTATTAGTGAGGTCATTCATTCTTTGAAAAACAGGTGGCAATTATTGCCCTTATTTAAGAAAGGAAGGCAGCAAATGTTGTACATGCTGGTTACAGTACATTTCTCTCTGAAATTCTGAGGAAAATGGGTCGTTACAGACATTGTTCAAAAGAACAGCGTACCTTGATTAAAAAGTTGATTGAGAGGGGAAAACATAAAAAGAAGTGCAGAAAATGATAGGCTGCTCAGCTAAATGATCGCAAATGCTTTAAAATGGCAACCAAATCTGAAAGACGTGGAAGAAGCAAAAAACTACCATTCGAATAAATAGAAGAATAGCCAAAATGGCAAGGACTCAGCCAACAATCAGCTCCAGGAAGATCAAAGAAGGTCTAAAGTTACCTGTGAGTACTGCTACAATTAGAAGACGCCTAGGTGAAGCCAAGCTATCTGCAAGAAGCCCCCGCAAAGTCCCACTGTTGAAAAAAAGACATGTGCTGAAGAGGTTACAATTTACCAAAGAGCACATTGACTGGCCTAAAGAGAAATGGCGCAACATTTTGTGGACTGATGAAAGTAAGATTGTTCTTTTTGGGTCTAGTGGCCGGAGACAGTTTGTCAGACGACCCCCAAACACTGAATTCAAGCCACAGTACACTGTGAAGACAGTGAAGCATGGTTGCGCAAACATCATGATATGGGGATGTTTCTCATACTACGGTGTTGTGTTGGGCCTATTTATCGCATACCAGGGATCATGGATCAGTTTGAATACATCAAAATACTTGAAGAGGTCATGCTGCCTTATGCTGAAGAGGAAATGCCCTTGAAATGGGTGTTCCAACAAGACAACGACTCCAAACACACCAGTAAACGTGCAACATCTTGGTTCCAGACCAACAAGATTGACGTTATGGAGTGGCCAGCCCAATCCCCGGATCTTAATCCAATAGAAAACTTGTGGGGTAACATCAAAAATGCAGTTTCTGAGGCAAAACCAAGAAATAGAGAAGAACTGTGTAATGTGGTCCAATCATCCTGGGCTGGAATACCTGTTCACAGGTGCCAGAAGTTGGTTGACTCCATGAAACACAGATGTACAGCAGTTCTCAGAAACAGTGCTTATACAACTAAATATTAATTAAGCGATTCAAAGGAAAGCAAAATCTTCAAACATTTTTCAGTTTATATAGTCAGAAACAATTGAGTACTGCCCTTGATACTTTTTTTATTTGCACTAACATACAGCAAAAGGACATTTTTAGTTAGGGAGATTTCGCTGAAATGTACTAGACAGAGTACAGTTCAGGTTTTACTACAGTAATTAAGTGTAAAAATTTGCCAGCAACAGGAAAATTTGAAACAGCGATTTAAGGCCCAAGTTTACTAGAAACAAAATCCTGCAGGCACGGGCTTTGCTACAAACATTCACAAGGACTGCGCATCTCCAACCCACAGGATTCATTTTAGACCTGAACCTCATCCCTGATTAAATTCTGTTTTATCATGTATGCCCTATTATAGAACATGTAATAAGAGTTTTTAATACAAATTTGACCAGCCTAGTTTTCTAATCTTAGATATGCATTATTTATCGTAATTCTAACTGGGCCATGGTACCAGTTTTAATGCTTTAAAGTGGATGCCAAGTCTTGGTTCTCATTACTGTCATTGTTTGTTGCCATAGATATTTTCATGTAATGCTTGCATAAATATTTCCCATTTTTTGTTTAAAAGATCTGGAAATAACACTGTGCAAGGATTCCACTTTTGTATCAAAATAATGAAAACAATGTAAAAATGCAGAGCCCCATGAAATAGCTTATCGGAACTCTGTGCACATAATTTACAAGTGACTTTTTATTCTTCAGCTGGAATTCTCAGCTCCCTGGATTCACCTTCTCAGACATGTTTATCCAAATTTCAAATCGCTTGCCTTCTTCTTATATATATGGACTTGGAGAAACAGAGCATGAGTCATTCCGAATTAACCTGGATTGGAATACCTGGGGATACTTTGCTAAAGACCAACCTCCTGCAGTAAGTAATAATAAGCATCCATCCATAGTTCCATCCATATAAAATCACTGTTTATGGTATGTCCTATGCCCTAATATGGCTTTTATTAAAATTAAAATTTGCTAAATATTTAGCTGTCAGAAACTACCTAACATGCCATAATATTGTGGAACAGTGCAGTATATGTTCTATTTTCATCATAAGAGTATGTTAAATTTGTGTTGATGTCAAGCAAAGTAACAGGTGACAGTAAAAGATGTCATCAGGAGGTAATGTTCCTGAAGGCTCAGGCTTTAAAATATGCCACTCATAGATACTTCAGGTCAGTATTTGTGCAACAATTTTAGATTCATCCTTCTCTTAAAGGCAATATGATATTTTCTTATTGGTCAACATCAGCCACAGTCAGTAGGACACACAGGAATTTTTATCATGCCCATGTCAACGTGTCATATCTAAAAGCCCAGTCTTACAGTTACAATATGTAATCCTATTTTATGTTCTAAACTATAAAAAAATATTGTAACCAAATGCAGAAATATCCAAAGGATTTAGCGTATGCTTTAACACATTTGTTACAGTGTGTATACATTCAATGAAAGCATTACACCATAGTGTAATGGTTAGGAATAACTCTTAGTAAACCTGTTTTGTCATAGTGGAGTTGATGACAGTAGGATAAGTCTATAACATCTATTTTTAAGACTGCAAATCAATATGAATGCAAGCTGATAGTCACAGTCAGATTTATGCTTTCCAATCTTGCTGCAAATCATGTTAACATTAGCTGTTCCCTTCCATAATCTGTGTTCTAATGGATTTCCAGCAAAATGTCTTTATCATTTCCAGCAGTGATTCCCAATGAAAAAAATATTTTACAATACATTTTGTAGGTAGTATTGGTTACTTAGTTTGCTATTTTTGTTTAATTGGTTTCTAAAGTGTTCTTTTAGAAAGCAAAAATATATTGGGGTTGATTTACTAAAACTGGAGAGTACAAAATCTGGTGCGGCTCTACATAGAAACCAACTTCCAGTTTGTTTTTTTTGAAAGCTTAATTGAACAAGCAAAAGTTGGAAGTTGATTGACTACCATGCACAGCTGCACAAGATTTTGCACTCTCCAGTTTTAAATCAACTTCATTGTGATTCAGTAAATAAAACAAGCTTTAGCTACTACATAACTAAGGCTACAAGGATGCCCTTTGATTGCTAACATTCCTCGTGATCATGACATAGCCATGGGCCAGAAGCCACATTATTGTAACTTACAGGTTATGGCATCCTATGACCCACCCATATCTAGACTGCTTCTATTTTACATATACCTAGCCAGACTTCATCCTTTTTTCTTTTTCAGATCAAAAATGGCAAGCTAAAACTGTTGGCTTGTGACAGCCCAAAGGTTAAATCTTATTATTTAAAAATCTAATAAATTTCTAGTTTAGTGTTAGTAAACCCAGCACCTTGCATTCACTCTGTCTGGTCTCCCACAGTACACAGAACATGGAAATTCAATTATTTTAGTAAATATAAACTGCTAATACCTTTTTTCATCAGCAGTTAGAGCAATCTTGTGACGTCTATCAGTGTTCAGCTGAGTACTTGTTACAGCTTGTAAGAGGAGTTTTCATTCTCCTGTAGGAGGATGCAGGACCCCTGACACTCTGTCTGGAGAGTGCTGATTGGCCCTGTGCTGATCACATGCACTCTCCCAAGAAAAGAAAAAAAATCTCTCTACCAATACACACTAAACTGAGCATGTGCAGCTTGTCCTTGAGCCTCTGTTCTATCAGGAGATATTTAGGAGACACTGGAAGATGGGAAGGATCAGAAAAGTCAGGATTAAACATGTTTTTTACACAATGTGGTGTATTAACCCTTTAGGTTCCACAGTGAGTATACCAAGCATTCTTTTCTGCATATACAGACAGATTTTACTGTTGTGGGTTTGGTAACACTTTGATAATACAGCAAAAAAAGCAATGATGATATTGTACATACTTTTTGTGCATTCATGCTATGATCTATTTAGGATGCCTACAGTTTTTCCTACTGCAAATTATTGAACCCTCACACTTTAAAAATGCTTAAATAATATTTTATGTTATATATAATATTTGAATAATGTAATGGATCAACACAATTTTTCTCCTGAAGTGCTCCCGTGTCCAGACCATGGAGTATTTATATAGCATTATTAAGCAGTAAAAGCCCTTTGAAACAAGCCATAACTGACTTCTCTAGCTGCTTTTACTGTCAAATTATTTATTCTCATAGATCCTTGAAGATCAGAACAGTAACTTAGTCTGCTTACAGTTGGGGTCTAAAAGTTTGTAAGCACTTTTTAAGCTTCCGGTGCCATTATAATGGTGCAGAAAACTGTCAAAAGTTTTGTACACCATAGTACAAATAGAGATAATTAACCACGTTGGCACTGGAGCAGTTTTTTCATTTCCTGCACACGTAGATTGTGCAGCTGTTTCACAAATATATATTTTCAGGAAAAAATGTAATAAAATTAATTTTAGTACAAACATACAATATAATACTGAACTTTGGTAAGATATATAAAAAATGAGGTTGTGTCAACTAAATAGATAACAAACATGCCAAGTTTAAAAATTGTGTGCACCAGATACAGTGAAAAACTGTGGTACCCAAAAAATCTCCATAGGTAACATCTCACATACTTGGTGCAATTGCGGTTTACATACACGTGTGCTCCCTGTGCTATGTTTGCATTTTCAGACATGTGCAAGGCAATGAGGGTGATGTTTTTGTTTTTTTTGATACAGTTTATCATAATTTTCTTCTTTTTTTTTATTGCTATCACAAGGGGTTAATAAAGGCCCATGTAATAGCATTGAGCAGGTGACAAGTACTCTTTATGGAGACATTGAGGGACTATTAGACTCCAGTGCATTCCCTGCCCTCCAAAGCAAATAACCAAGTGCAGATCATGCTTGGTTAGATGCTTTCCTGGCTGTAACACCCCGGGAATGACATCTCAAAAACCAGAAGTGACAAAATCATTGTTTCTTCTGGCTTCAGTCACTGCAGAGGAGATTAAGGAATGGATGTTTCTCAGTTTCCTTCCATTCACCATACTTATTTATTTTAATTTATTTTATTTATTACAGGTACTTATAAAGTGCTGTTAATGTATGCAACTCTTTAAATATGTATTGTGCATTCACATGAGCCTCTGCCTTCAAGGAGATTACAGTCTAACTCAGATGTATACATACATACACATACTAGGGCCAATTTAGACAGGAGCCAACTCACCTACCAGCATGTCTTTGGAGTGTGGGAGGAAACCCAAGCACCTGGGGGAAATCCACACAGGCACAGGGAGAACTGTGCTGCTCGTTGTTGTAATTAACTGTACTTAAGACAGTTGTTGCGGTTCCAGGCTCCTGGTAAGAGTGGGAGATCCTGGGAAATAAGTGGGTGGTCTCTTGGCAGAAAGGGTGACTGTCGCCCACACTGCAAAAGGATTGACAGCCACCCAGGTCATTTTTACTTTGCAGCAAGGAGCCGGCGAAGGAAAACTTACACAAGCTGATGGCTGTAGTAGCAGCCATCAGCTTTGCTTAGGCTCATTCACATCTGGCAATTTAGGATAGTGTGCAGAATCACCACAATTCTGCCTGCGATTCCAAATCACAGCACTGCAATAGTGACAAAATGCACCACACCTATTTTGGGGCTGTTGAAGTATTATTATTAACCATATCAATATAGTAAATAATAATTACTTCCAGTTTCATTATTTACCACATTGATGGTGCATTTGATACCTTTATGTTTGCATATTAGGCATGTATTGTTAACAAAATTGCTATAAAATTTGCTTATGATATAATTTGTTATTTATTTTATTGTTTGATATAGGAATACATTTGGTGTCTTATTATTGCATGAGTTCTTTGATTATGGTGGTAGCAGCACATTAGTTATTATACTTATATTAAACTGGAGGCAATTATTCTTTAATTTAGTGCAGCCATAGTGTCACTTTGTAAAGCTAAACAAACTGGCAGCTCAATGGAGCCCTCCACCTCTAAGACCAAGAACTGAGTGATTAAAGACCACTTATCACTCAGCTCCCAGTTTTCAGTGAGCAGAATGCCCGTGACTGTCAGTCACCATCTCTCTGCTCTGGCCCTCCAGTGGTCAATGGAGTGCTGGACAATGGAGAGCTGGACTATGGAGGGGTGAGGAGATGCTGCCTTAGGTTCAGGCCCTCAAAGGAGCACTGAGGGGCTGAGCCAGCTGCCACTCAGAAATCTTGATAGATCCCAAAATTAAAGTCAGGATCCCTCCAGAGTCTAGAGCGGGTGAAGAATCTCAGCCAACAGTCGACTTTAGCCTGCTGTCAGCTGAATAAAAGTCACAGGAGTACAAAACTAAGTGCACTCCTATGACCCAAAGAAGAACTAGGGCCAAAAGAGCTTTGGCATTATTTCTCCTTTAATCCCTGTAACTGTACCTTTGTATAGCCCCTATCCTGGTACCATGTAAACCAATAATCTTTAAAATTAGCATTTTCTCAGGTTCATTTGAAGGGAAGTATATTTATTGTGTATTTTATAGACTAATTGTATAACACATACTTCACTTCTGATGCTTCTGTTTGCAGTACAAAAGCAATGCATATGGATTTCATCCCTTCTACATGGGACTTGAAGAAGATGGAAATGCTTACGGAGTGTTCTTGCTTAATAGCAATGCAATGGGTAAGTTTGATAACACTCACTTCCTATATACTTTTGTAGTTATTTAATTTTTATTAATGTCCCATGCTCAGAGTTTGTTGCTATTGTTTAGAAACACATATAATTAAATAATAATTTAAAAGGGTTTCCACGTTCAAATTTAGAAAAACAGTCACAAGAGAGAATTATGATTTTGAAACATATTACCCATACACAGTTTTCAGTTTTCCACATGTACTTTACATTGGAAAAGTGAACTAATGTTTGTTTCTCAAATATGCACATACACAAAGGTTAGCCTTTAGGTGAATTAGACCTGAATTATTGATCATTGCTAAATACATGGGGTTCAGATGATTTTAGATGGTTAATGTCTTGTCACATATCAGAAAGATGGAATTTGTCACATATGGCCACATTAGTTGCTATATACTGTATAATGATCAAACCGCTGACATGATTTTCTCCACTTTGCATATTAAAATCTATCCTAAGGCCTCTTGCACACTGTACTAATGTTTGAGAATCAGCATTTTTGGATGTAATTTCAGGCGTTTGTGTAGCAAGTATTTGCGGATATTGACCTGTATTTGCGAGTCTGCGCATTCACACATACATGTTTGTATTTGTGTGAGTTGGTAAAATTTTTTTTACTCAAGAATGCGCAGCGCTTGTTTACCTGCCGGTGTGTACAGGCACATTGTGGACAATGGGCTGCATTTTAAATCAGTAGAATATATGTTCTTTCAAACTACATTGTGCAAGATGCCCTATATTTTATTTTTATGACTAATTTGCAATCTTACCTTCAAAAGCATCCATTTAATATTGTATTCCTTTTCAGATGTGACCCTGCAGCCAACCCCAGCTATAACATATCGTACAATTGGTGGAATTTTAGACTTTTTCATTATACTGGGTACAACTCCAGAAAGTGTAGTTCAGCAATACACCAAAGTAAGAATAAAAACATTTTTGTGCAGCTCATTATCCATGTAAGGCTCTAACTTTTTTTTTTTTTTTTAAAGCTCATAGGACACCCTGTAATGCCAGCCTATTGGTCTCTTGGTTTCCAATTATGCCGCTATGGATATAACAATGACAGTGAAATAGAACAACTATATAAGGACATGGTGGCAGCCCAGATTCCTTATGTAAGTATTGTTAAGGTCTGGTAAAAGTGAGAAAAAGGGAGGGGGAAGAATGAAGAGGGGGGGGGGAATGGGTGGAAGGGAAAGGAGAGAAAGCCTACCTAGTAGTTACCCAATGTTTTAGACTTACTATATTAAGGCGTACCTTGGTGTGGATTGGAAGAAAAAAGGAATCAATATAATAGAGATGGCAGATAAAAAGTTAGTTAATTTTATGACTTACAATGTAAAAGGTTTGAATACTCAGGTAAAAAGACATAAGATCTTAAAAGAAATTTATCAACGTTCAATTGATTTAGTATTTCTGCAAGAAACACATTTAACTCACGATACAAGAATTAGGTTACAATCAAAAAACTTTCTGGTATGGTACTATGCTGATTCACCAATAAAACGAGCCAAAGGGGTAGCAAAAAATGTGAGATTTACTATAGAAGATAGAATGAAGCATCCAGAAGGGCTGTTCTTGTTTTTGAAGGGGAAATTGTATGAAATGGAATATAAACTAGCAAATATATATTGTCCAAATAAGGAACCAATGACCTATTTAGAGGATACGTTAAGGGATCTAATGAATTTCAAGAGAGGTAAACTGATTGTGGCAGGGGATTTTAATTTCTGCATGGATCCTAAGTTTGATACTTCATCGCATGTGCAGAGGGATGAAGGTAAGAGTTTAAGGTCGACAAAAAAGAAATGATATCAATGCCAATTGGTAGATGTGTGGAGAATTAAACATCTAGGACTAAGAGACTATACGTTCTATTTCTCAGTACATGCAACATGTTCTAGATTGGACTATATAATGATAGAACACAGATTATTGGGTTCATTGATTAAATCCAGTATCGAGTTTACATCATTATCAGATCACGCACCTGTCACAATGAGGTTGAAGGTGGGGAGGGGGGGCAGAATAAAACATATGCATGGAAATTAAATGAGACACTTATACAAGATCAGGAGACGGAAGTAAGACTACAAAAATAAATTGACCAATACTGTCAGTTAAATGAAACAGAAGGAGTCTCAATAGATATGGCATAGGAAGCCCATAAGGCGTATATAAGAGGTATCCTGATTTCCATGGGGTCGGAAAAAAAAGAAAAAAGGTTGTTAAAGATAAAAATAATAACAGAGGAATTATATGAATTAGAGCAAATACATAAAAAAAGAATAGAAACTGAAGTACAACAAAGGATAATATTAAAAAGAGAAGAATTACGAAATCTAATGGAACAGGAGACAAATAGGGCTTTCAATATAGTGTCAATGGAGAGATATCAATGGGGGAATAGACCGGGAAAATATTTGGCAAGGATGGTAGTGACAAAGAAATCAGTAAATTTTATTGAGAATATTAGAGATAAAACAGGTGAAATTGTATATTCAACCAAAACAATAGCTAGTGTATTCCAAAAATATTATAGTTCTCTATATGCGGTTACATCTAAGAACCCAAGAGAGTTGGAGGGAGATAGAAGTAAAAAAATCCAGGCATATCTAGAAACAGCAGCACTACCCAGGCTAGAAGAAGAAAGACTGAGTGTCAATGTTAGACCAATTTCACAAGAAGTGTGCCAGCTATAGACCAATAACATTACTAAACATAGACACGAAACTATAAGCAAAAGTTATTGCCAGCAGGTTGAAAGACCTAGTGCCAGAATGGATACACGTAGAACAAGTAGGGTTTATACCAGGGAGAGAATGAAGAAATAATGGCCTGAGATCATTGCTTCTAATTGGAAAAAAAGTAAGAAGGAGAAATCCCCAGTTCTATTTCTGTCGATAGACTCTGAAAAAACATTTTACAGCGTAGAATGGGGAGTACCTTAGAAGCGATAGGATTAGGACCTAAATGATGCAGTGGATAAATTCTTTATATAGTCATTCCTCTGCAGTGGTAAAGGTCAATGGCCTATTGTCAAAACCTTTTGAAATGTATAATGGAACAAGACAAGGATGTCCACTTTCACCTTTCCTGTTTATATTATCATTGGAACCTTATTAGCAACTATGACAGAGTACAGATATAAAAGGAATTAAAATTGGAGAAGTGGAACATAAGGTGGCAGCTTATGCAGATGATATGTTGTTTTATGTAGTACATCCTAAAGTAACATTACCAAATCCTATGAGAATGTTAAAAGTATACAGAGAATTATCAAATTTTAAAATTAACCTTTCAAAATTTGAGATTTTAGATTTATATCGAAAGCAGAAAGACAGATATTAAAAGAAAAATTTCCCTTTATCTGGAGAGATAAAGAACTAAATTACATGGGAGTAAAGTTGACCTCATCACTTAGGAGTATATATCAGACAAACTTCATACCACCATTATATGAGATAAAGGAGGAGTTGAGAAAAATCTCAAAAGGACTACTTTCCTGGATAGGACGAATAAACTTGGTGAAGATGTTGATAGTGCCTAAAATCTTATATAAACTTCAAATGCTCCCAATATATCTACCGCTAATGTATTATAGGGCTTTGAAAGGATCGATAATGAGATATACAGTTGCAAGAAAAAGTATGTGAACCCCTTGGGATTACGTGGAGTTTTGCATGAATTGGGCATAAAATGTGCTCTGAACGTCACAACAATAGAAAGTCACAACAATAGAAGAACACAGTCTGCTGAACATAATACTACAAAAACATTAGATGTTGCCATGGTTTAATTGCACATAACATGTAAACATTCACAGTGCTGGGAGGAAAAAGTATGTGAGGACCTAGCTTAATGACTTCTCCCAGAGCTAATTGGAGCCAGGAGTGAGCCAACCTTGACTCCAATCAGTGTGATGATATTAGATGTGTTGTTGACAGCTGTCCTGCCCTTAAAAAACACACACCTGTTTTGGGTTTACTGGTTTCAAGAAGCACTGTCTGATGTGAACCATGCCTCGCAGAAAAGAGCGTTCAGAAGACCTACGATCAAGAATTGTTGACTTGCATGAAGCTGGAAAGGGTTACAAAAGTATCTCCAAAAGCCTTGATGTTCATGTGTCCACGTAAGACAGACTGTCTACAAATGGAGGAAGTTTAGCATTGTTGCTACTCTCCCTAGGCGCGTTCGTCCTGTAAAAATGACTGAAAGAGCACAGCGCAGAATGCTGCATGAGGTAAAGAAGAATCCCAGAGTGTCAGCTAAAGACCTACAGAAATCTCTGGCACATGCTAACATTTTTGTTGACACATCTACAATAAGGAAAACATGAAACAAGAATGGAGTACATGGGAGGACACCACGGAGGAAGCCATTGCTGTCCAAAAAGAATATTACAGCACGTTTGAAGTTTGCAAAAGAGCACCTGGATGTTCCACAGCACTACTGGCAAAATATACTGTGGACAGATGAAACCAAGATTGAGTTGTTTGGAAGAACACACAACACTATGTGTGGAGAAAAAAAGGCACAGCACACCAACATCAAAACCTCATCCCCACTGTAAAACATGGCGGAGGGAGCATCATGGTTTGGGGCTGCTTTGCTGCCTCAGGGCCTGGACGGATTGTTGTCATTGATGGGAAAATGAATTCCAGAGTTTATCAAGACATTTTGCAGGAAAACGTACGACCATCTGTCCGCCAACTGAAGCTCCGCAGAGGATGGGTGATGCAACAGGACAATGACCCTAAGCATACAAGTAATTCAACAAAACAATGGCTGCAACGGCACAGAATACGCCTTCTGGAGTGGCCCAGTCAGAGTCCTGACCTCAACCCGATCGAAATGCTGTGGCATGACCTTAAGAGAGCGATTCACACCAGACATCCCAAGAATATTGCTACACTGAAACAGTTTTGTGAAGAGGAGTGGTCCAAAATTACTCCAGATTGTTGTGCAGGTCTGATCTGCAACTACAGGAAACGTTTGGTTGAGGTTATTGCTGCCAAAGGAGGGTCAACCAGTTATTAAGTCCAAAGGTTCACATACTTTTTCCTCCCTGCACTGTGAATGTTTACATGTTATGTGCAATTAAACCATGGCAACATCTAATGTTTGTGTAGTATTATGTTCAGCAGACTGTGTTCTTCTATTGTCGTGAATTAGATGACGTTCAGAGCACATTTTATGCCCAAGTCATGCAAAACTCCACGTAATCCCAAGGGGTTCACATACTTTTTCTGGCAACTGTATATGGGCAAATAAAAATCCAAGGGTGAAATATGAGGGTTTTATGTAAAGATAAAATAAATGTGGGTTTAAATGGGCCAGAGTTTAAAAGATATTATTTTGCAGTATTAATAACACGAATAATGGATTGGGTATATAATGCATGGGGGAAAAGTTGGGTAGGGATTGAACAAACACTGGGTGCAGCACAACTGGATAAAATGATTTGGGTTCCACAACAGTACCTGACGTTGTCTGAAAACACTATTTTAACAAGAAACATATAGGACATGAGATTTAATTAAAAAACAAAATGGATGGGGATTTAATTCACCACTATTACCACTGGAGGGAACACATTGTTTCTCACCGTGCAAGAGCACTATAGCAGGAGTTTGTATTAAGGATAGGAATGCACAGTTAAAGGATATTATGTAGGATAGGGAAATAGGTACTTTACAAGAATTGAAAAAAAAAAGCATATGTTTTATGTGTTAGATGATTGGCGGTACCGTCAATTAAGGCATTTTGTAGCATCACTTCCAAAGCCATTGAGAGGGGTTGAAGATATGTACCCATTTGAGCAATTGTTCAACTCAGATGGAATACAAAAACATGGCACGTAACGCATTTATAAGATACTGACTTCGATATCTGAACCGGTACTTCCAACATATATGGGTAAATGGGAAAAAGAGTTGAGAATGCAGTTAAGTGAACAACAGAGAAGGAAAATATTTAGATTTGCACATGGCGCAATTGATATGAATACAGTGGAGATGAATTATTCATTTTTAGCAAGATGGTATGTTACCCCCAGTAGAGCTCATAAGCAACACCCGGAGAATTCCTTGTATTGTTGGCGGGTGTGTGGGAT